TTTGTCCTGGGATGCCCTTGACTTCTGCTCTGAGTTTCTCCTTTAATTTAAAATAGAAGTTAATGTTCTATTTTCATAGCTGTTGCCTATATACAAAGTTTCCAGAACTTTGCTCTAACCTGCCCACTGGTCAGCCCCCACACTGATTGCTTTTAGCTGTTATATCTGAGAAGTTAAGCAAAGTCCAGCCAGGCCAGTACCAAATGGCTGAAGTGGGCTCAAATTGCCACTGATTTGCTGCAGGACATTTTCTATAACTCATGAGAAGGCAAGCCCTTAGGAGACAGAAATGAATCTTTATCCTAGAATGCTGTTAGTGAGGAGCTTGCAGCTGTAATTCTGGCTTTCAAATGAGCTAAAGTTGAATCTCAGTCCGTCTTGTTAATTAAAAAAAAGTTACACCCCCCAACAAAGAAAGAACACTATCCCTCCCACACCATAAAACAATACAAAGCGTCACCCAAATGCACTCATGAAACTAAGCATAAAAATAAACACATCTGGCCATACTCCAGTTCTTCTGCTGCTACTTCAAAGGGCAGAGTTATTAGGGAAATGTTGGAAGATAAAGGCATTAAATGCCACTGCTATGCCTTTATGCAGTCATGTACTTGAAGTCTTTACCATCCCATATTCTTGCAAGGAGAGAATGTGATTTCTGACATTGGTGAACAGTTCCCAGCACGAGGCAAAATGGACAAACACCTTCTTTTATGTCTAGAGATGGCCAGATGCTTTGATCTGTGAGCTGATGCATCCACATTACCCTCGAGTCAGAGAAGAGAGAGAAAAAAGTGAAGGCAGTTGCCAAAACTGGCATCCAGCCCCAGCTCTTGAGTATGCTGGACCACCCTGAAAAGCATTCCTATTAGTGTTGAGTACTGTAATTATTAGATTGTTGGTATATGTCCCAGCAAAGTATGTGATTTTGTTATTCTTTAAAATATGACCAGACTAAATATATTGTCAATGTCATAAAAACTAAGCTAATATTGTTGCTATCTCTGAGCCAGAAAGAATGCAGGATTTTGCATTCCTTTTCCAGTGCTTGGGCCTGTAAGCTGTGCTTGCATTGCTTCGTGGTCAGACAGAACTGCTCTGCAGTTTAGGGCTGCTGCTGAGGCTGTCAGACATTACAGGGGGTAAAATCAATTCCAATGCCAGCATCTCTGACATCTTTCCAGGATAAAGTACTGATTATATCAAAAAAATGAATAAAATAGGGAGAAAAGACTAAGGATCATTAGAAACTTTTCTTTTATTGAAGCACAGTATGGCAAGAAAGAGAAATTTCCTAGCTTTCTTCATAGTTACCGAGTTCCTCGGTGGTTTCCCTTATTTTCTGTAAGATGTGCTGCAATAATTGAAAGGCAAAATGGGTTGTGTAGGTATTAGTTTTGTTCTATAGACTTAGCATACTCTAGATACTTTTATGGATTCTGTGAACATAAAAAATAGTAATTCCCTTTGGCTGTTGCACATCCTTTAGTCTGTGCCCCTTCCTTGCCTTTGTTGAGACATCAGTCCTTTTGGGGCCAGCAGGATCTGTGACAGCCACTTAATTGCTACATGCATTTGTACTGTTCTTTGGCAATCTCATTTCAGTTTGGTGTCACTGTACTTATTTTCCTGGAGGTTGGTTTTATGTTAAATGTCAGTAAAAACAGGTAACATCTACACAAACAATGGTGGAGCAAAATCCTGTATAATTGCAAACCAGCTCATCTAAAAGACACAGAAAGAAAATATTATATTTTATCTGGCAGGAAGAAAAAGCAGAAATCATATTTCAAGAACTGTGGTGAAAGCTATTTACATTTATTATCTTTGAGCCACATAACATCACATTGATGATTTTGCATTTATATTAAGCTTTACCTTTTTTTTTTCCTCCCTCACCAACTTTCTGAATATTCTCAGAGATTAATTTACCACCATTGACATTTAACTATCTGGGGGATGCAGATGATGTTCACCAGTAATTGAAAAACTTAAGAATACTGTTTCTAAATTATGTACTGGGGGAATTTAAACAGTTTAGTGTAATTACTAAAATTGGAAATTGTCCAGAATAAGTTTAACATACAGGTTATTATATGATGAGAGTGCAGGATTTTAATGAGACATATGGTCAGAAATGCAGCTGTATTTGGGATGGTGCATGTGGACAGAGATGCACCCACGTAGCAGAGTTACAAAGTTCAGAACAAAGAGCTCCAGTGTGAAATCTTGGAAGCCTGAAGATACAGCAGCCAGCAGAGATGCACAACCTCCAGGTCTGCTGTCTTGTTCTGTGGCTACCTTTGTCCCTACACCACTTTTCCTTTTATTGCAAGGATCAAACTGCTTGTAGCCCTATTTTCTTGTTTTATTAACGTGGTTGGTGCCTAAAACATAACTTGATATATTGTAAAAAGAACAGCCAGCGTAACAGACATGCAGGGTGTGAGAAGGCAGAGAATTGTCACCAGCTTTCGTTTTAAAGGAGCACAGTGAGCATAGGTCACATTTTAATTGTGCCCACTTATTTAAAATGCCTGCTTTATGCTCTTTCCAGCTAAAAAAAAATAAGTTTATTTGTTTCAGAGTCACTGGATTAATGCTTAGAGTGATCAGGAGTTGTATGATTAGTGTTGTCAGACTAATGCAGAATATGGATTCCACCTGAGTCATTCAGGGAAAATTTCCTGATTTTTATTTCCATGGAGTTCTCTAATCTGTAATATGATTATAACAACATGCTAGGTAGCTCTTCACAGATGGTCTAAAAAAAGTAATCTAAAATATCCATGGATATTTCAATAAGATTTTTAAAAAGTGATTTATATTTGTATTTTTATATACAAATATATTTTTTTATATGCTACTGGAAAGACTACAGTTCAGAATATAAGAAGTGAACGACTAAAGTTGTGCTATAATCTTCTAGAACTGGAATGCATATAAAATTCAAAGAAAATTGTCATTGGGTTGGGAGGCAGTTCTGCTCACGAGTGACATTAGAGCTCTGATCCATTAAGAAAGGACATTAAAAATTAGGGCCTGAGGAATCCAGGATAGGAGACATCCAATGAATTGATAAAACTGTAAAATACCAAGGTATAATGGGCAGTTTTGGAATGACATCCAAACATAAATTGCTAAGAAGCACTGTAGGTTATTTTAAATATAAATTAATATAGAATTATTCCGTTTTATTTGTTTGGCTTTTCACTAATCCTAATAACTGCAGGGCATATAAAGAGCCTTTAGAGGCTTGAGAAATGGTGTCTTCTCTTTTCCTCTAAACAGACTTTTCTAGCAACACCAGGAAAAGTAAAAGAACAAAACCCAAACCTAACCCTCTGAACTTGGTTGCTCTTTTTAAGGATGAATTAAACTTATTGCTTTATCTCAGGATTGCGATGGTGAGTCAACAGTGTCATGCAATTTTTGGTGATTTGGATACTCCATTATACATGAAATATAGGAGCAGAATCAAAATATCAGGTTTTGAACTGGTACTGGGAAGTTCCTGTTGGCTGAGGAAAAGAATTCTCATTTTAATGCTCAGGTAATGTCCAAATGCGGAACAATGGGCTGATATTTTGAGTTTCTGACATAGGAGCATATTTTTGCAAACCAATGATAGATCTCAGTCTTGAGAGATGATTTGTGATGTTTTGGTCACAGATCATTATTGGGGTAACTACAGATTGGGAAACCTCTGGACAATAGGTTTTGCCAGCTAGGCATGACTGAAGTTAATGCCCTTGGACCATGCCATCATTTTCATATGTGTATGGTATAGCAGATTTTGTGTCATCTTCTAGAGAAACAAATAACTGCACTCCATGAGTTTTAAAAATAAGATCTGTTTTGTTGACCTTGCCTTTTCTGCATTTCTTCTATATAAACCTAAATATTTAGGTGAAAGCAACATGCAAAGTTGTGTAGCTGAGACATTTCCATTTTTCTGCTGTTTTTTCTTGATGAATGCAGGGGAAGATAACAATTTGCCTTTTTCCGCTCCATTAAAGTCACATTTGAAGCAGTCTTCTGAAATCAGTACAGTGACATTATTTTGCAAGCTAATGGATGCTTTATTTCAAATGCTTGAGCAAATGTTACCGTGTATTCATGTATGCACACTTTTGCAAATTAAATAATGCATCTGTGATTTCAGTTCTTTTTTTCTCCTTTCTATTCCGCTGAATTTACATAAGATTGAACTGGGAATATCCTGTATCTTAATTGTTTTTCACCTTTCAAAATTCTCAATTTGAAATCCAGTAACTTTCTAAGACATGTTCATTGATTTCTCATTTCCCACTATTGAACCAAATGTGCAGCTTAAAAACATACTTGAGCAGCCTGGGGTTTTAGGGATTGATAGATGGGGATGTCTTAAACAGAACAGTTTCAGCATCAAGAATTTGCTTTGTAGTTCTCTTTCTATGGAAATAAAAACTAACTGGGTAATTGTTGTAGAATGTGGGTTCAGTATTTTCCAAATAACAACTAGTGGTATTTTCCATGAGATGTGTTTTTATGCATATTCAAGTGCAAAGAAAAAGGTATTTCACTTTCTGTTCCAACATGAAAGCTTTCAAAGATTACCAAATGTAATGCTAAAAAAAAAAAAATAAAGTGTTTCCATGAGACATTCCAGACATTTAGGGAAGGTACATTGAGTAAATAATCTAAATTAGATTGACTTATTTATGTTCTCGAGAACAAGCAATGTGGTGGTTCAAGATAGATACTCTAAAGAGCAATTTTAACTTATCTAAAAAGTAGTACCAGGTTTCTCTGCTCTATTTGAGCCACACTTCTCTTCTTCAAGTGAATTACTTATTTTGGATCACTTATTTGACAAAGGAAACTAAAATTGTTTTGCAACAGTTTTCAGTCAATAGACTTTTGTCTCTTGAATAAGCTGAAGATGGTAGAGTTTATGGGATTGTACTTAATAAAATCACTTTTCATGGGGTGTGTGTGTTCTTTATTTTTTTTTCCAGATCCAGCCATTGTAAATGGAGTTTATTGGTCAGAATCTTTAAATAAGGTGTTCGTTGACAACTTTGATCGTGACCCTTCTCTCATCTGGCAGTACTTTGGAAGTGCAAAAGGATTTTTCAGACAATATCCAGGTAGGAAGAAGAGAAGTTCTTAAAATGCAATAAAGAATTCCATGGCTGCATTGAGTATTGTCCCAAATCCTGACTGCCACAGACACTTGCAGGTTTGATTTTACTTCATCTAGTTCTTAGAGAGATTTCCAATAAACATTTTGAAAATTCTGAGTTTTTTCTACCAATTTCTATTTGGAGATGAAACCCTTATGATCAGTTATGTACTCATAAACATTTCTATTCAGATAGACATATACAGACATGTGAAAAATAATTCTAAGCAGGCTGTGGGAAGGAGAGCAAAAGGATTAGAGTCTTCATATAGTACTAAGCTTGAATTCTGTGCTCTATCAATGCACACTGTAAGACTTCATCATTATTTGTTGTTTTATTTTTGAACTTCCACTTAACCTGGCTGATTTACATTAAAAATTTTTAAAAACTTGTTTGAAAGTTTATTTTCACACCCATTGTAATAAAATGCAATCACATAACTTGTATTATTTCTACAGAAATAGGTTAGAACTTATATTGCTGCCTATTAAGTTTACTATTTAATCCTATACAAAACTTACCACATTATAATAAACTATGAGGTTAAATAAACTGATTCTCAGCTTCTGTAACTTTGAATCAGGCTCATAGTGGGTATTGTTCCTTTGGCTGATGTGGTTTAGCAACCCATGTTTCTCTAAGTCTTGAGTTTAAGCAAGTTCACTATAAGCCTGTACGTCTGAAATTGGCTGAGAGTAATGGCTACTACATCTGTGTTAGTTTTAGATTATATTTCAGTTCCCAAGCTTCATGAGATTTCAAATATTAGTCCTCATTTTCAAGGCTATTTCTTGTTTTCTTCTAGAAAATAAGTGCAAAAAGCAGGAAAAATTTCCCCTGTCATGTTTTTTCCTTGGAGATTTTTTTATTATATTTCTTCTGACCTACAACCAGGAGATGTTACCTCTTCATAGTGATGTGAGTGAAAATTCAGAGTATGACCTGTGGGTGAAGCAGGCAGTGTACGGGGAGCTGCTGGAGCCAGCCATGGGTTGGAAATGCTCAAGGTCTGGAAAGGACTTGGCAAGATGTGATAAAGCTTGCCAGCACCAAAGACCAAGAATGGCAAGAATTTTGTGAAAATAGTGCAATGAACACACAATGAAGAGGTTTCATCTTACAGTAGACTAAAAAGGAGTGAGGAAAGAAATAATTTCTGCTTGCCCTATTTTAGGAACTTTTCTTCCCCCCAGTATTTCCTATGATGGCACTGCCTGTTAGATTAAAGTATGAAACTCCATTAACTGCTACTTAGCCCCAGTACCAGAGATACATTTTCCACAGGTACTGTGAAAATTTAATTTAATATTTTATCCTCTGTGGTTTTTTTTTTTAACAGGAATTAAATGGGAACCCGATGAGAATGGAGTCATTGCATTTGACTGCAGAAACAGAAAGTGGTATGCAACTGATGACTGCCAGTGTTTAAGAAATTTGAAATTATGAAAAGTACAGTATTTAAAAGATGTTTTGCCTTTCATCTCAGGTACATCCAGGCAGCAACTTCTCCAAAAGATGTGGTAATTTTAGTGGATGTCAGTGGCAGTATGAAAGGGCTTCGCTTGACTATTGCAAAACAGACAGTTTCATCTATTTTGGATACCCTTGGAGATGATGACTTCTTCAATATAATTGCTGTGAGTGTCTCAGGATTTTTTTTTTTTTACTATTTTTCTTCCATCATTTCTTGCTATCTGTCATGTTTTACTTCACTCAAGCCACTTGAAAAAGGTTTCAGACAGGTGATGGATGACATCTGAACCCACTGGACAGATGCTGTTTTTTCAGTGCAAGCTTCTTCAAGTGACAGAAATTTCAGGCTGTTTGTCTGTGACTTGCAATTTGAAATCCTTTAAATAAGTAGTCTTCACTCTGGGGTTGCAAAGAATATTTTTTTGTTTTGTTTTGTTGTTTGTTTTTAATTTTTATTTTGCTTGAACTTGGTACATTATCTTAACTTTTAACTTCAGGGTGTGTCTGCCTCCCCCCGTGCTTTCCCCCCTCATATTCTGCAATACAATACAAACTGCAAAATGGGTGAAATGTAAGAATGAATAGATTCAGGTTTTGGCTTTTGCTAAGGCTTGCATGGCATGATAAAATGCCAGCATAACTCCTCAATGTTCATGTTCTGGTCTGAAATGTCTGTCTGTGTAAGCTTGTCGGGGTTGCTGGTGTTTAACAGCAGTGAGAAATCAGATCCTCAGCAGCTCCTCTTGTGTATGGTGCTGACTTTTCTGTGCTGCACATACAAATTTTAAAGCTGTGACAAGAGGCTGGTTTTACTGTACTTAAGAGTAATGGGATTAATTTTGGGGATAAGGATGACTTCAACAAATCCAAAACTGACATCAGAACTATGATTTGCAGGGGAGGGAAGGGAGGAGAAATTGGTTGCTACATAAATTTTCTTTGCTGATATTCTCTTGCTAATACTTTTTTAAAAAATGGTTTTCTCCAATGTGTAGATGTCTTCAAGTTCTTGACTATAAGGAAGATTTCAGCCTCTTTGTTTTTTGGCTACAAGGGAAGTGTCCCTTGTGCACTAAATTAAATGACCCCAGGGACACAAGTGTAAATCATTGAGATTGTATAGAAAATTAAGTATATGTGTATAAAGTATATATACATATACTGTATTTTTAACACATAGCAAGAAGTTCAGACTGTTATATCTATTTCTTTGCATGATAATTGCATAATTAGCAGAAACTCATGTTGTATAAAGTTATAATTACATACTTTATGAAAAAAAAAAGATTTACTGTCCTTAAAAAAAATGTGATTAACTGTAATCTAAATAACTTCTGTAAGTTAAAAGAATGTTTCATCTAGAGTAATTACTAAGATGCCTGACCAGCTGGTTCTGGTGTTTAATCTGTGTTTATCAGTAGTTGTAGGAAGGAAAAAAAAA